GGGGGGAAGCAGGGGGGCGCTCTACTCCCAACTGAAAACCAAAGTGGAGAGGGTGCAACCGCCACTTAAAAAAAAAATCTGATTCCTCTGAGTTCTGCTGAAAGCCTCTAGGATGCTTCAGGAAATGGGCACTTTCCAATGAAGGGAAAGTCTAAGCAATTTCACAAATGAGAGTGAGTCCGTGGGCCCACGGAAGGAGGTGGGGGTGGGGAAGGAGTCCTAACACTGCTCCGCTGTGGGCCGCCCGGCTTCATCAGGGTGGACTGGCCTCCCTGACCTGACTTACCATTCTGTAAAGCAATTATCTTCTGATGCTGCTGCTCGGTTAAGGCTGTTAAAGCTTTTAAGTGTTTCAAAGTTAATTCCAAGACTACCGCTTTCTCCAGATGCCCCAGAGTCTGCATTGGTGCAAAAGAGAATGGGGCACTTGGTTACTTAAAAACACACATTTGGCTTGATTGGCTGTCCATTCAGCACAGCACGTTATGCACACACTATTCCTATACTTCTTGAGCTTTCCACAAGACAGGTTATAAATGATTCTTTCCCTTTAGTTGTGAGCACCTACTCCTGAGTTTGTGGGAAACTCTACACTATAGCACAACTTGTAAGGCATCTGATATTTACATTCATTCTTATATCTCCGGGAGTAGTACCAGCCTATTAACAAGCCCTTGGAGAGCAGCAAAGAAGGAAAATGTGCATCTTACTGTCAACTTCAGATGTTCAGGCAGTAAATCTTTCAGCTGAGCAATGCATTCATTAATTCGGTCTCTTCTTTTCTTTTCTATTAATCTATGCGGTAATTTATAGGTATCCTTAATTTGTGAGAGTCATGGAAGAGAGAAAACAAAGATAAACATTCATTTACTGGATATAACATAACACTATCCCCCACCACCCAAAACACAAGACTATATGATAAACTATGCGCAAGAAAACCTCTTTCCTCTGGGCTGTTCTGAAATGAAATTTAAATTCAGGTATGATGTTTAATCTCCCCCTGAGAGTATGCAGCAAACCACTTAAAAATCACAGTTGGGGAAGCTCAAGGGCTGGAATATATTTGCGGGCAGAGCTTCGCTGTGAAATCAATGGCCCTAATTATCCAGGCAGGTTACAGGGAACATCGGAAACTTACTCTTACCTTGCTATCGTCTCGCTTCATGCTCCTTTTGGGTTTACACATATACAAAGAGGAATAGTCCAGTCTGCAAAACAGAAATCAGCATCAGCCACCCATTCGGGAGGGGCTCTGCCCTCGTCCGCTCCATACCACTTTCTTGAAAAGAAAAAAAAAAAATCAAACTGAAGCCCAAACAGATACTCGCAAGGGTGCGTGCACCTTACCCCATAAAATCTCTATGTTCCAGTAACTGTCTCTCTTGCAAATGTGGAATTCCTTCGTCCATGTTCAACCGCTGTCCGTTTTCCTCTGTTTCGATTTTTGGGGTCCTGTTCTATAATCTGTGGGACGGTAGCTCTGGGAGATCTTGGGGGGAATCTGTGCGTCTCCAGTCTCTCTCTCCCTCTTCAGTGCAGTGTTGAAAGTGTGAAGCAGTTGGCCCCCCTGCCACCGCGCTCGCTCTCTCGCACACAGACGCATACACACGCACCCACACTCGCGCCGGCCCCACAGCGCTGGTAGTTTGCTCTCACTCTGGGCAGTGTTTGGCCACAGGGCACGCGCGTCGCCGGCCAGACCAGCACCCAGCTCACGTGCGGAACGTACCATCCGCGGTCCAGCCCGGAGGGGGGCGGGGGAGGAGGGGCC